CCAAGTTGACCAAGTTGATCAAGGACGTGTTTTGGAAGAGCCCAAAACCCACGGGGGGGGTGGGTTTGGGGCATTGACAGACCCTCCCCCCCATTTTTGTCCTGGCAGACGACGGTTTGTTGACCGACAACGAGGAGGAGGAGCCTCCCCCGGGCGAGCTGGAGAAGGTGGACCCGGCGGCCGCCGCGGCCTCGGCGGCCAAGCCCAAGCCCTCGGCCGCCAACCCGCCCAACGCCGAGGGCTCCAAACCCGGCGAGGCCCCCCAGAAACCCGACCCCCAGCCCCGCAAGGCCGCGGGGAAGCGCCAGGGCAAGTCGGGCCCCCGCGGCTTCAAGAAGTTCCCGCCGCGGAGCCTCCTGGGCCACGGGCGGTGCCACGACTGCGGCAAAGCTTTGGCCTTCGGCTCCGCCTTCCCCAAGCGCCGGCGCGGGACGGAGCGGCCCCACAAGTGCCCGGAGTGCGGGAAGTGCTTCCGGCTGAGCTCCACCCTCATCACCCACCAGCGGCGCCACGCCGGCGACAAGCCCTACAAGTGCCCCGACTGCGGCAAGACCTTCAGCGTGGGCTCGGCCTTCATCCAGCACCAGCGCGTCCACGCCGGCGCCGGCGCCGCGCCCTGCCAGTGCGGCGTCTGCGGCAAGAGCTTCCCGGCCAGCGCCGGGCTGGTGAAGCACCAGAAGCTGCACCTGGAGGAGAAGCCCTACAAATGCGGCGACTGCGGCAAGGGCTTCAACTGGAACTCCCACCTGGAGCGGCACCGGCGCATCCACACCGGCGAGAAGCCCTACGCCTGCCCCGAGTGCGGCAAGAGCTTCAGCTGGAGCTCCCACCTCGACCGGCACCGCCGCACCCACGCCGCCGCCCGCGGGGACCCCTCGTGCCGCTGCGCCGGCTGCGGCCACGGGCCGGAGCCGCCGGAGCGCGGGAAGGGCTCGGCGGCGGCCAAGCCGGCGGCCTCGGCCAAGCGCCGGCACGGCGCCGCCGCCGCCCCCGAAAAACCCCACAAGTGCGGGGAGTGCGGGAAGGGCTTCGGCGCCGACGCGGCGCCGGCCAAGCACCGGCAGAGCCACGCCGCCGGCGCCGCCGCCAAGCCCTACGAGTGCGGGGAGTGCGGGAAGAGCTTCGCCTGGAGCTCCCACCTCGACCGGCACCGGCGCATCCACATGGGCGAGAAGCCGTTCCGCTGCGGCGACTGCGGCAAGAGCTTCTCCCAGAGCTCCCACCTGGAGCGGCACCAGCGCGTCCACGCCGGCGCCGAGCCGCCGCGCCGGTGCTGCGACTGCGGGAAGAGCTTCCTGGCGGCGCCCGCCAAGCGCCGGCGGCTCTTGGGCGGCGGCGGCGGCGCCGAAAGGGCCTCCAAGTGCGGCGAGTGTGGGAAGAGCTTCCCGTGGGAGAGGAGCCACCACAAGTGCGGCGAGTGCGGGAAGAGCCTCCCGGCGCGGGCGGAGGGCGCGGTGAGGCACCAGGGCACCCAGACCGGCGAGAAGCCGTACGCCTGCCCCGAGTGCGGGAAGAGCTTCGGGCAGAACTCGGCGCTGGTGAAGCACCGGCGGATGCACACGGGGGAGAAGCCCTACGAGTGCGGGGACTGCGGGAAGAGCTTCGGCGTCCGCTCCAACCTCATCAAGCACCAGCGGACGCACCTGGGCGAGAAGCCCTACAAGTGCCCCGAGTGCGGCAAGGGCTTCATCCAGAAGTCCGACCTCACCAAGCACCGGCGGATGCACACCGGGGAGAAGCCCTACGAGTGCAACGTGTGCGGGAAGTGCTTCAGCGTCTCCTCCAACCTCATCAAGCACCAGCGCATCCACCTGGGCGAGAAGCCCTACCAGTGCTCCGAGTGCGGCAAGAGCTTCATCCAGCGCTCCGAGCTCACCATCCACCAGCGCGTGCACACCGGCGAGAAGCCCTACAAGTGCCCCGAGTGCGGCAAGTGCTTCAGCCGCAGCTCCCACCTCAACCGGCACCAGCGAACCCACGGCGGGGACAAGCCCAAGGCGGTGGCGGCCGCCGGTGGTACTGCCGTGGCCACCGAGGTGCCGCCGCCGCCGCCGGGCTCCGGGGGCTTCCCCGGCGCCGCCTTCCCGTCCCCGGTGGCCTCGCTGGGGTCGTTCCCGGCGTCGCCCTCGGCGCTGCCCGTGCCGGCGCTCTCCGGCCCGGCCCTGGAGCTGCCCTGGGCGCTCTCGTTCCCCGGCCGCGCCTTCGCCCACCCGTCGTTCGCCCCGGCCCCACCCGCGGGCGCCCAGACCCCCTCGCTCATCAACTGAGGCTCCCGGTGCTCCCGGTGCTCCCGGTGCCCAACTGGGATGGGTTGGACGCACAGACCCAACACTGGGTCTCGTTGACCCATCGTTGTGTCGTGTTGACTCATCATTGGGTAGTGTTGACCCATCGTTGGGTCTCGTTCACTCATCGTTGGGTCTCATTGACCCATCGTTGGAGCTTCTTCCAACCTGGAGCCATTCAACATTCCGGGCTAATTAATGACGTCATTAATTAGGGGATGGGGAACTCCCCCTCATTCCGTGGCTCCGCCCACCCCCCCAGTGCTCCCAGTGCCCAACTGGGGCCGGAATTCTGGGATATTCCACATTTCCCACCTCTCCCCCTTGATCCCACATTATCCCAAACGGAGCCGGATGGGCTTTTCCTCTTTTAATTTTAACCATTTTTTGTCCTTTTTGGACACCCCAACTTTTGGGGCAAAATCAGTGATTTGGTGACGTCGTTTTCCAGGCACTTCAGGGAATATTTTGGGAATTTTGGGTGGATTTCTTTTTTTCCTTTTCCATGTGGAATTTGGGACAACTTCGGTGTGTTTGTGGTGAGTTTTTTATGGCTTTTCCTTAATTTTTTGGGGTTGTTTTTTGGGATTTAAACTGTTTCGGTACAAGCAGGAAAAAGTGGGAAAAGTGGTGCTTTTTTGCTGCCTAAAATTCTGATTTCTCCCAGTTTCCCGAGGAAAAAAATGGGAAACGGAGGAAAACAAATGAGGAAAAAAATCAAAAACCTGCAAAAAACACTAAAACAAGCGAAAAAAATCATGAAAAATTAAGAAAAACATCAAGAAATGGGGGAAAAAGTAAAGAATTGAGGCTAAAAATGACTCTTGGTTTGTCCCAAAAGGGGATAAAAAGCTGGAAAAAAAGACTTTTGAAAAAGTCGGGAATTGCCGAGAACTTCGGAGTTGGAAAATTCGAAGTGGAAATGAAATAATGGAGGAGTTTGTGGAGATGCCACGGGAAGGACTCCTCGTGTTTATGGAAAAATGAGGAAAAAAATGAGGAAAAATATCAAAATATAGGAAAAAAGTGCTAATGAGGCATCTCGGGGCTCAGCGGCCCCAATCTGGGCCCAATTATCCCCAAAATTCAGGGCAATCACCCCAAAATTCCAGGGTTTGGTGGTTTGGGAACCTCCGGAGCCGCCACGGGCGGGGTGGGACCGTCCCGAAATTCCGGAGGAAGAGGAAGGAACGGGATGAAACCAAGAACTTCCCTGGGAGCTCCAAAAGGACGGAATTTTCGGAGGACACTTGACCCCAAAAAGGGCCAAAAAATGAGCCCCAAAAGCTCCAAAACCAAGGATATTTTGGGGGAAAACGCCCCCAAACTGTGATTTCCGTGGAATTTCGCCCCTTCCTGGTGTTTCCGGTGTCGTCGCGTCGCGGATTCCGGTCGGTGTCATTCCCGGTGTTGGGAGTTGTTCCCTTTCCATGAGTAGTAATAAATTAGAGTTAGTAATTCCCAGTTATTCCCAGTTTTTCCTCGGAACGGCTTCAAAGCGCCTCGAAATCCCGTTTTCCGTGGTTTTTCCCAACCCCCCTCCCTTGTGGAAGGGCCTCCAAATCCACGTCCTGGAGCAGCTCCGGGGATGGAGCAGCTCCAGGAAGCTCCTTCCCAACCCTTTCCCATCCTGGAATAGCTCCAGTTGGATGGAATCCATAGGGATCATTCCTCGGGGGAAGGTTATTCCTCAAAAAACTCAAGGAATTTTGAAAGATTTAACACAAAAATTCCTGTGTTTTGGTTTGGTTTTTTTTTCCCCCCCTCCGAGATTCCAAAGGAAAAGGCGGAAAAAAAATCAGCGGGAGCATCAGGAATTCCCAGGTTTTCCACCGCCGGTGCTCAAGGGTCTTTTTTCCAGGAACTCCCCCCTTTCTCCCCCCCCCCCCCCATCTTGATCTCCCTTTGATTCCCACATTTTGATCCCGAACCTCGATCCCAAAATTTCGCACCCTCCCGTTTCCCTCCTCGGTTTTTTTTCTTGGAACCATCCCACAAAAGAACCCACGGGTTTCCTCTCGGGAAATTTGGGATTTCCAGGGAAAACCGGGGATACCCCGCCCCGATCCGGTATCCCTGGGAATTCCAGGAGCCCTTTTTCCCGGTTCCCGGCGCCGTTTCCCGCCCGGATCCTTCCGGGAGGACACAGGAAGGGGCCGATCCAGGCGGGAGGAAGAGGAGGGGGAAAAGGGGGGGGCGGAGGGAGGGGCCGGGAATGGTTTTCCCGAAGCCGGGAATGTGTTTCCCGCTCCCGGGAGTGATTTTTTTTCCCTGTCCCAGGAATGTGTTTCCCGGTCCCGGGAATGTCGTTCAGGTCCCAGGAATGTTTTCCCGCTCCTAGGGATGTTTTCCCGGTCCCGGGGATGCTCCGCTCGATCCCGGGAATGTCGTTCAGGTCCCGGGAATGCTTTTCCCGGTCCCGGGAATCTTTTATCCCGTTCCGGGAGTGATTTTTCCGGGCGCCGGGAATGTTTTCCTCGTTCCGGGAATGTTCAATCCCGTTCTGGGAATGCTTTTTCTCATCCCGGGAATGTTGATCCCCGTCCCAGGATTGATTTTTTTTTTTTTCCCGGTCTCAGGAATGTTCGTCCCGGTCCCGGGGATGATTTACCCTGTCCCGGGAATGTTTATCCCGGTCTGGGAATGCTTTTCCCGTGATTTTCCCAATCCCTGGAAAAAAGAGGGAAAACAGACAAAAAAAAAAAAAAAAGGGAGGGAGAAAAGACCAAAAAAGGGGCGGGAAAAAAAACCACCAAAAAAAAAGTGGGAAAACACTGAAATAAAAGGGGGGAAAAAACCAAAGAGAGGGAAAAGAAAAAACAAGGGAAAAGAAAAAAAAAAGGGAAAAGAAAAAGGGGAAAAACATCAAAAAAAGGGGAAAACACCAAAAATATTGGGAAAAACGTGAATAAAAGGAGGAAAACACACAAAAAAGGGGGAGAATCCAAAAAAAAAAAAAGGGGGAAAACCACCAAAAATAAAGAGGATTTTTTGGGAATGCCGGGAATGGCGAGAGAAGGACCCAGGGAATTACAACAATAACCATTTTTATTGATATTAAGAATATTCGGGGCTGGTTTTTTCCCGGCCCCTCCTCGTTCCCAGGTGCCGGAATCTCATCCCAGGGGGGCGGGTGGGGTTTTGTTTTTTTTTTGGGATCGAGTCCCTGGAGGGACCCCCCGGGGCTGCCTCGAACCCGGGAATTCTCATCACAGCCCCCCCCCGGATCCCAAAAAATTCCCGACCCCCCCTTTAGTGCAATTCGGCTCCTGACGGGAAAAAGGGGCGATTTCTTCCCCCGAAAAAGCTGGAATTCCACGGGAATGGGGTTGAAGGAGGGTCCCTCCCCCCCACTCAGGGCGTTCCCAGCTCATCCCAGTGACGGGAATATGGAATTCTGTGGGATTTGGATCCGCCCCCCCCCCCATCCCCCAATTCACCCGTCAAATTTTTGGGGCGAATCCCAAAAATCCGTCAAAAGTCCAGGGATTTATTCTGTCCCTTCCCCCCCCCCAAATTCCGAATTCCCCAAAACTCCCCAATTCCAGGATTTTAACACCAAAGCTTCCCAAATTTTGGGGGTAAACCCCCAAATTCCAGGGATTTGCCCCAACCGCCCACAAACTCCAAGAGTTTAATCCCCCAAACTTCCCGAATTCCAGCGATATAACCCCAGAACTCCCCAATTTTGGGAAAATCCCCAAAAATTTCAGGATGTGAACCCCAAAAGCACCCAAATTTCAAGGGTTTATCTCCAACCCCCCCAAATCCCAGGAGTTTAACCCCAAATGCCCCTAAATTTCACTGTGGATTTTTGTGGGATTTCGGGTGAATTTTGTGGGAATTTTGGGTGGGTTGGGGAGGAATTTGGGGCGAACTCGGGGTGGATTTGGGGGGAATTTTGCGGGGATTTGGGGGGAGATTTTGGGGGAGATTTGGGTGGAATTTGGGGAGGATTTCGGCAGAATTTTAGGTGGATTTGGGGGGGAGCTTTGGCTGGATTTTTGCGGGATTTCGGGGGGAATTTTTTGTGGGATTCCGGATGAGTTTTTTGGGTGAATTTGCGGGGATTTCGGGGGGAATTCAGGGCGGATTCCGCAGGATTTCGGACGCGTTTGGGGGGAACCCGGGGAGGGTTTTTGCGGGATTTTGGGAACGAACTCCAGTGTATTTAGGGAATTTCCAGAGAGGGGGAGCTTTGGGACGACTCTGAGAGAAACTCGGCGGAATTCCCGGCGCCTCTTGAGGAGCTCCCGGTGTATTTGGGAATTCCTGGGAATTCCGGAATCAGAGGCTGACACTCCGGTGGTGCCAGAAGGGTTCCTGGTATATTTGGGAATTCCCGGGAATTCCAGGATCAGAGGCTGACGCTCCGGTGGTGCCGGGGGCGTTCCCAGTATATTTGGGAATCCCTGGGAATTCTGGGATCAGAGGCTGACGCTCCGGTGGTGCCGGAGGCGTTCCCGGAATATTTGGGAATTCCGGGATCAGAGGCTGACGCTCCGGTGGTGCCGGAGGCATTCCCGGTGCGTTTGGGGTGGGAATTCCCGGGAATGTCAGAGGCTGACGCTCCGGTGGTGCCAGAGGCATTCCTGGTATATCTGGGAATTCCGGGATCAGAGGCTGACACTCCGGTGGTGCCGGAGGCGTTCCCGGCGTGTCTGGGGTGGGAATTCCCGGGAATGTCAGAGGCTGACGCTCCGGTGGTGCCAGAAGGGTTCCCGGTATATTTAGGAATCCCTGGGAATTCCGGGATCAGAGGCTGACGCTCCGGTGGTGCCGGAGGCTCCGTCGCCGCTCCCTCTCCCCGGGCTCGTCGCTCCCCAGGGAAGCGGCATCCGAGATTCCCGCCAGGTGTTCCACGGAGTCGAACTTCTGCAGGTCGGAGGCGACGCTGCGGAGGCTGAGCACGGACAGGGAGTCCGGGGCCGGGCATTCCGCCCCCAAATCCCGGGATTCGGGGCCGGGGTTCCGCTCCCGGGGGCTGCTCTCGGCTCCCAGCGGGGATTCCCGGCGCTGGAGGAGCCTCTGGAGCCTCCGGGCGTGGATCTGCTCGCTGATCTGCTCCAGGTTCCGCAGGGCCACGGAATAGCGGGTCTTGGCCCGGGACACGCGGCTCTCCAGGGCCGTCACCTTGGATTTGTGCTCCTGGGAAAACGGGGGGG